CTTAGCTTTTAATTAGCAGTTATTACCGAAACCTATGAAGGTGACATGGAACACTCGTTTCGTTATATTTTCAAGCTTATATGAATACGTAATCTAACATTTTTTGTCAAAATATTTGTCCTGATCAATTTTATCAGCCGAGTATATTTAATTTCGACAACGTACTATGACAAATGAAACTGCATAGGCGATCAAACCGCCGGGATGCTCTCCACTCTGTATCCTAAGTTGCCGTCAAATATATTTGAATTTACTGCTTATCGTGATGTATTTCGTGATGTCTTTCTTCCACAGCCTGTCTACAAACTTAATCATTGTTCTCTGTGTGGAATTTAGGACTCGCCCATGTTTTACGCCACCACCCTTCAATAAGCACAAAACTGTCATATCACCCTCCAATGAGCACAAAAACGAGATTATACGCACCGCTGCGCAAAATTAGAAGAAGGTTTGCTACTAGCTTCACAGTGGTACCACTGAAGTACCGTACCGGTACCCGACAGTGTCGCCTATCAAATTGCTCGCTGTTAAGCAAGTCGGGCAAACAACAATAAGTGAAAGGAGTCTAATTCTAGAATTCCCGCCGTATTAAATCTGGTAACTCCTAATGACTCAGTGAAAGTATGTTTACTGTTATTTACAAATTTTATGACCGTTTTTTTTTTCTCGTCATATTTTATCCCCCTTACTGCAAGTTTTATACACGTATAATAGGATACCGTACCGGTATTGTTTGCAATAATTTATTCGCTGTAACCTAATCAGAGTGGTAATTTTCCCTCTTTTCATTTGTATATAAGCTTTCAAAATTGTATTTGTTAGAAATATTTTGTGCGTATTGTTCGTTTTCCATGGTTCTTAGTTTTTTACATTTGCCAAATTTGCATTCTCTTTAAGTTTTTCTTTATTTTTTCTTGTTGTCCTCTCATTTTCTCTCTTCAGTGCACTCCCTCGTGATAGTTATATATTTATTTTGTTAAATAATCTGCACAGTAGTCTCAATTATGTATACTGCCGCAACTACTGGTATTCAGTAGTTGTGTCTCATTTAGTTACTTTTTTATACTTACCTGCATCAGCTAGGTGTCGCTGCTCGAAGACCTTTATAGGTCCCTCGCGACTCCAGTCACACAATTAACATGATCAGTATATTTCGTTTGTTGTAACAGTTTTCTATATGCTTGTTTTTTGTGTTGAAAAATAAAAGATTGATTGATTGATTGAAGAATTGGGCCAAATCCAAGATATTACTCTAGTGATTTTGTGAAGTGGATATTGCATTTTGTAGCTTTGCTGATTGATGACAAATCGTTGTGAATAAGCTGTGAACATTCCAATTGACATTGCTATAATGTGCATTAGTGTTGTATTTTCATGTGCAAATATAGTTGCTATTTCTTTAGACTGTTAAGAGAAAATAGATTTAAGATGATATTTATGACGTCATTATTAATGCTTCACTAAGTCGCTTGATGTCACCATTGAGCTCTCTCTCTCTCGCTGTACTGCATGTGGCTTAATGCTATGATTAATGATGTTTATGTTATATCCTTAAATATACTCAAGCATTATAATATTAGTGTGTTTACCCACAAGCAAACACTGGCTGCAAAGATAATGGAATCGTCAAAGTGTCACAACTCAGCAAAGACACCATTTGCGCACGTCACTTGGTCGCGTATGAAAGACGTTGTGTACACACCTGTCACCACGAACCTAGAATCGAGTAATGTGGTCACCGGCACTGAACTGAAGTTTGAACGCGACAGACGCCAGTTTCTCTGGTACGGCCATTGGTATAAAACAAAAAAAAATTGCTGTTAAACTTAAGCACACTGCTTATTGTGCTCACTGTTATTGTTGCTCAATTCTTAATTTTCTTTTGTGGCTGATTTGCCAATAAATTCTCTCAGAACGTGAAGCGCGATAAAAGTACACCTAACAATTTTCATCTTTTACTCTAGTATCTATAGTTCTATACACTGCTTGAACTTCTTTCATTGCCATTATGGTATGTTTAGTTGCTCTGAGCAGAAGCGATGATATTATTGTATCTTTCTTTTATTTAACTTTCCTGGGTTGTAAATGCTGCTTTGTGAATACAGTAAATTTCTTTATATGAAATGGTGTCAATTATATGATTCGAATATTTGATGGAGTGTTGGCTATTTCCGAAATTTAAATAGCGGCAGGCAATTGCATAGCAAGCATATTTTACAAATTAGGATACAGCAACGTATGCAGACAGTAGCTATATTTTGATACTTTATCATGTTATATTTTTAAAAAGGTCGAATCGATCACCCCGTTTTGTTAAATTATCAATCAAATGAAATACATGAACAAACTAATTTATGTTCATTTTGGTGAACCTCCACCCACAAGTTCATTGATGATGACATTATATAATACATCCCCGCCATTTATTTTATTTTAATTATTCTCAAAGTCATTATAATTGAGAGAAGAGAACAGCCAATTTAGTGCGCGGGTCATTGTTTTCACAGAATAATGTCAATATGTTTTCCATAAATGCCGAGAATTTTTATTATTATAAGCAAATTGTTAAAAGGCCTTCACGTTAGACTATATTTCAAGACTCGTTTTTATCTAATCTCGACTAACTCGGAATTCGCCAACTAGTCTGTATTTTGTATTCTCTACCGTATCACTACGCCACGCACGAGCTCGTATAAATTAATGGTCCCTGTAGTCAGAAGCTCGTATCACGATGACAAAGCACATATCCCGACAAGCGGGTCTGTGCGAGCACAAATAAATTAGCCGCATTTAAACGTCAAGTTGCGAGTATAGACTCTGTTGTAATGGGTTTGTCCATTGGAAATATTACTATCAACTAAAACGTCAGCGGAATTTTCAATTCCAACTTGGTCAGCAGCATATATTGACTCCGAAATTTTTTCCGCTACAGGTTAGGAATCTAGGGTTCTTGCCAATACCATCACCTCTAATAACGTGTAAGAAACTCATGAGGCTAAACCGAACTGAAAAGATTATGTTAATAACAATTTAGCGTTACTCTAGACCTTAATGTTGTGGTTTATGAATATTAGAAGAGAGACAGAAAAGCCTTATAAATAGTTGAAATTCACTTACCTTTTCTTTTGGTCGACGGGCTATCCGTATCCCGGAAAATAATTTAACAAAATTGCCCATTCTTTTAGAATGTGATAAAATACCATTTTGCATGATTTTCAATATTTCGTTAAATTTGTGTGATGAAACTCGTTGCTTTGTTTGTTCTATTCAACTACGTTTGCCTAAATCTGTTTTACTTGTGGTACTTTATAAATACGGTAAATAAGGACCAAGAATATTCCAATTATGATAGTTTGACGGTAAAATATTAAAACGATTTTATAAAATAAAATAAAAACTTTTTTAAATATTTTAGATTTAAATACTGTTTTCTGTTACTTTATTTGGTATACTGTACAAAAAGGAACATAAACTATGTCATATTTATGAATGTCGGAGCATTTCTCCGACACTTCAGAAAAGCCAACAATGTAATTCGTTTATTGACCATTTTAAACCAATCAAATGCTATATAATACATTTATATTGATAAACGTTCGAAATTATATCCTAAATTCTGAAAATTTCAACAACTACTAAAATATTTCAGCATTTTCATTCTTTTTTAAAACTTGGATTTCGACTGGTTTATCATTTTGTATTGCCCCCCAAAAATTTAATTGTGTTTGATTCCAGTTCGGCGATTACATTTCTGAACCGGATAAAGCCCTGTATGTGTCCAGCAGCATTTAAAATCAATTAGGATGTGTAATGCCAATTTACCGTAATTTACTGACATTGCATTGTGAGTTACGTTTTTAACTTTACCTAGAACAAGTCAAAAAGTATGGCATGAAGTGTTTTCGGTAAATTTAAACCACAGCATTCTTACAGGATTCGATTCGGGTAAAAGGCTTAACATTTTGTATATGTTTATGCCCAAATACTTTTACCTTTCTTTTACTGTTTAGAAGGTAAAGTGTATGTTATTGCACGTTTATTTAGATCACTGCATGACAACGCTTTAAGCGGGAAATCGATAAATGGCGGCTGTGCACTATTTATAAACAAAATCAATGAAGCGTCAGGTATTTCTAATCATAAAGACGTTAAATGATATTATGTTATTTTCGGCAATATGATGTCACATGGGTGTCGCAGCCCGAATTTTTATTTTTAATACACATTAAAACGTTTACTGACAACTAATAAATTTAAATTAAAGTTACTTATTCTTAAAGATAAACAATGAACATTGTATTTTGAATTTATAATTCAACAATTTCTTTAACAAGTCACGTGGTAAACATCGCTGTGGAATCTATGTGTTGCGTTACATATGTGCACTTTTCTGAAGTTTTTGGCTATAGTTTATAGATTACAAGCATATAAATTGGTGGCCTTAATTTCACTTGCTGGTACAATTCCAAATACATTTTTTTAAACGATCCGCTTTCAAACTAAAGAACGCATTTCAAAATGGCGTGAAATAAAATTGATATTAGCATCAATAGCTTGGGCAATATCTCATGATGTGTTCAATTTTCATTTCATGGCCGACGTGGTATCGACACTTTCTTCGAGCATGAATTTGAATCACTTCGAAATTATATTTTATTTATCTATTTTAGGATTGCAATAATTGCAGTTATAACATAGCATCTTAATATTATAAAAACGAAGATGTGCCATCGAGTTGTTAAATTATTGCCTTGTCATCTTGATGTCAGTACTTTTTCAGTATATAATAACAGACTATATTAAAATGGTGATATAAAAATCGTGGCGCCCTCGGCAGTCAGAAAACGCCGTTGGTGAAATGGGCGTGACAAGTAGTTATAACAAAAAAACCAACAATTAGAAACTATTTGCGCACAATAATTATGTTCGAACAAATGGCGCTATTTTCTCCGTCCTACTAAAATTAAAATCAACTTTTTATATTTTCATATAGGCTAATTGGTAGCTAAATAAAATAGAATGTCGATACTAAAACGACCAAGAATTGAAGTGATGGATATGGATACTGGCGAAAACATGCATCCGCGTTCCCAAAACTTTAGCGAATCGAGGCAAACAAATCTCAGCACCAGTTTTGTACGAATAATGAACCCGCGGAGACCATACGACAACAAAAATAACGTTATTACAGGTGCACCAATAAGACTGACAGACGAAGAGCTCCTCAATATTAGTGTACCAGAGCTAAATCGGCATTTGCGAGGACTTAACGCAGAAGAAGTTAAAGCCTTGAAACAAAGAAGGCGAACTCTCAAAAACAGAGGATATGCCGCATCTTGCCGAGTTAAGAGATTGACTCAAAAAGAAGAACTTGATATCAAACGACAACAACTGCGGCACGACGTTGAAAAAATAGCAAGAGAAAATACTATCATGACTGCCGAACTCGAAATGTTACAAAGAAAATTTGAAGACTTAGAAAAATTTTCTAAATCTCTTGTTCTACACTCAATAATTTCACGCGATACAAAAGTCTTCCAGAAAACATGAACATCTGACGCCGATTAACGCCGAACATCTGACGCCGATTGGTACTCTGCCTCAGAGATATTACGTATAAGGTGAAAATAACACGGAGCTTTATAAATATCAGCTTCATTTCCACTAGCACATGACGCATATCTTGGTTTAAAATTTTGAAAAAGTGACAGATTTCGTTTGGGAGATTCATCTAAATTAGCAGAGCAATTTAAATGAATTTACTTCTCGAAAAGCATGCCTTCAATAACTAATCTTGCCTTCTTTGAAATTCTTTTAGTTTTTATTATCTAATATATATCTGATCGAATGTTTAAACCAAGATTCCACATGCAACTTGCTGTCAATACAAAAGGGCCGCTATATAAAGACAACTGAAGCAATTTAATTTCCACGGTTAATTTAATTCTTTATATCATATGCATATGATTATATTTGCTCTAAGTATGACCTGTATGACGTTATGGCATATCAATTCAGAAATTCATGATAAAAGTAAGCAGTGTGTAAGTGTTGTGTACCAATGTTACTAAATTCTTGGCGTATTTCGCTGGAAAGTGTTCTTTTTCAGTTACATTAGACGAGAGTAAATCTCATTCAACGTAATTCTTGTCTGAGCATGGTGAACGTTTACGACTTTTGCTGCTATGGGCGTGTTTGAAATTAATGTTATATTTTTGCGCACTATTTCTATTTTCACAATAAATAACCGAGTGAATATTGCATTCTGCCAATTTAATTTAACGAATGGCCACAGGCCCACAACTTATGTTTTTACACATATACTCAACCATACGCAAATTGATAAGTAGTGATATAGTTCGAGAAGCTCACTGTCAAAATCTATTAAAACCTTCTGTTTGAATTCTCATGAGGATGCTTAATAAAATTCAACTAAAATGCGAATACATAGTGAGACATTTTGATACTATATTATATTTAACATGAGTGAATGACAAATTTACAGTTTCGAGATTGCAAAAATTAGCTCCCGAAACTGTTGGAAAATTAGTGAGTTTCCTTGTGACGAAGGTAGGCAGAACTGGTCAATGACACACTAAGAAAAAGACAAACGTGGGTAGTAAACACAATATGTTTGTGTATTCATAGAATTAACAAAATTGACTCAATTTAGGCCATAATATATGTAAATTTCTGCTATAACTCTGTAATCACATTTAGAAGCAAGTACGATTTTTGCAAAGTTTATCGAATTTTGAAACTGCTGCATTACTCCGTCAACCTTTATTCAAATCACATATTAGGTTTTAATGTCGGCCAATACAGAAAACCCAGCCCTGCAGTGTAACACAACACAGCAACTGTGATATTAAGCACGATTCGGTGGGGCGATTCAGTGATATGTGACAATCAATTTTACTCGTATGATCGGTAATCCATGAAGGTGTTAAATACTTAATATGTGTTGAAGACAACCAACGTTTTGATAGCTAAGGCATTAACCCAAGTTTGATACTTTGACATGATTGTGCATTTATTGGATATTATGTTTGGTTGGGCACAATCATCTTAGTTATTTTGCATTGCAGTTATGCAGTTCCGTCAATATCTCAGTCGACGATCAAAGAAAGCTATAGTTCGTGTGCCGCGATCAGGTAAAATTCAACCAATATTGTCTAACTAAGAGTTGATTTACTTCCGCAATTCTCAAATTGTACGAGAAATTATTGAAACCAAACGTTATCACGAACAATGTTTGTGTAAATACCGTAAGATCCGGCCGAGACTCGTGCATTTCCTTTTCGAACTAGGCGACGTCGAAATGACTACTATCTAACACCGCTACAGTACTCCAATATCTCACTTCAATCCACTTGAGAAAACACGGTAGTTATGGAATAAATATTCCAACAAGGCAATATTTTGACTTCGTCAGCAAGCAATGAAAATATTATAAAATGAATATCATCACCAGAAAACAAGTATGTTTGACTTCATCATTTTGAACTAAACACATACTCAATGCGTTGGGTTGACTTCTTTTGCAAAATAGAAAACATTTGTTTTGGAATAAAAAATTGGTAACAGGACATTGCGTGACAGATGTGAATAAACGGGAATTATGCTCGGCACAGCAACGATTCGCGTTACCGATTCCATGAATATCGGCTTTTTTATTTTTGTATTATGGCTAATCAGCAATATGTGAATGGTTACGCAGCAATTACAACTAAACAAGTCACTCGAACATTTTTCCATTGAACAGATTTTGTAGGGAACTTTGCTGTAAACAAAAGTCAGCGCACTCATTTAGAAATGAAGGAATTCGTCCCTTGGCTCTGACCGAAGCTGCGGGCGTCAATGAAGTGCTAGAAACTACTGGAACTATACCATATTTTACCATATTTTTTTGACTTTAAAGCGGGACTCCTCTAGAGACACGACCCCTTAGCTGTGATCCTGTAACTTTACAGTTTTCAATTTTACTACATATGCCTGAAGTTAAAGCCATCCCGGCTGTCTTCATTGACCATATTGTCATCGAGAGTTCATGCGCCATATTCTTTGTCTAAATATCGGGTTCAGTTCGAAAAATAGAAAGGAATAGACGCTAACGATACAAATGATCCTAATTCAGATTTTTTATGTACGGCAAAAAGAATAATGAAATAGTCTGTTGCTTTGAACCCGCGTACATTTGAACCCGTACATCTGAACCCGTAATTTGAACCCAGAACAATTGCACCTGTATACTATTGCACCTATGGACATTTGCACCTACGGACATTTGAACCCATACATTTCCACCCATGGATTTTAGCACCCGCATATAGATTGAACCCATGTACATTTGAACCCACGAACATTTGCACCCGCGGACGTTTGAACCCATGTATATTTCCACCCACAGACATTTGAACCCACGTATATTTGAACCCGCGTACATTTGAACCCACGGACATTTGAACCCGTGTATATTTGAACCAACAGACATTTGAACCCGCGTATATTTGAACCAACGTATATTATATTTGAACTCGCGTACATTTGAACCCGCGTACATTTGAACCCACGTACATTTTCACAAAAAATGTTTACCCCAACGGCAATTTCCAGTCGCAAATTATTTTTTCATGTTACAGGCGCAAGCTCAATATTCTAAATTTCAACACTGTTTCACTTGTAGTTAGTTTTGGTGTATATGCATTTACCCGCTTCTACGAAGCAAGCATTTTTGAGTGTCATTGTAGTCCGAGGGATAAACGTCTGTTAACGATATAAACAACATTGTTCTGCCAAGGTCTTTTTTCTTTTGCTGTTCTTTTTACATTGAAATTTGTAAATCCTTATCTCATTCGTTAGCCGCGATCTCCAAAACAGACGATGACCTAGAAAGAGGTATTTCGTTGAAATACCTGAAACCAGGGCTAATACGGAACAAATATCTCACAGACCAATGAAGTCTTAAATGAGGGTCTTACTAAAACTAGCTTTACAGTAATATTTTTAGTGGTCAACTCCTATAAATTTGTTCTGAAATTATTGCACCGCACCGAAAACGCCTACTATGATATCCCGCCCAGCATGAGATTTGGGAGCTCTGTGGCCACTTCATGTTTTCTTGCTAGCATGTTTACAAAATTGTTATATGTATGCATACACGACCACGCTTTACTGTTGAAAATGAGTGTTGTCTCAAATCAGGTTTTGCCATTTTTCCTAAAATCAATCTATAAATTGAATACTATTGTCTGTATATAAATAAATAAACGCACAGATTCTAAGAAAATATGAAATTAAGATAATGAAACTATGCCATTTTTGTAACAACATGTTCATAGCCAAATGCCAGTTTTATTGAAGTATTGTTTCATTAGAATGTCAGAACAAAACTATACATAGAAATCGTAAGTCATGTAAATATGTTGAATATTCGAAAGTGAAGAAGTTTTAAAATCATTATCGTGGCCAAAAATGGTTTTTGCTGTTTACACTATTTAGAGTAAATCGAACATGTTCAGCATATAGGGTCTGTTAAATATGATATTGCAATTTACAAACGACGTCATAGGTTACGGATTACATTTATTTTAATATCTCAATAAAGTTATCACTCACAAATTTGTGTCGAATGGGCGATCAATTTTGAGATAGAGTAGCTATGGACCGTTTTACATAATAGGAATTTATCAATTATGATACAATAGTTAAACAACAAATCAAAATTAATGACGATAACGAATTTATACGATATCACGATCAAAGTCAAAATCAAATAGACTGCATTTAAGTTATTGAGTGGAGATACCTCAGCTTGTCGGTTTCAGTTCCATATGAAAAAACTTTAACTGACAACTAACAGCAAGTTGTACATACTTTGATCTTTGGTGGGCCCGTAACTCCTACATGAGCATTTGCCGCAGTCAGTTTGTGGACCGCAATGTCTTTTCATAGGCCATTCAGCAAACCCCCATATACTCGGATGTTTGCATCGGAACATTCCTTGTAAGGCGTTGTGAAATCCTTCTACAGCGTTTGTTGTTCTTGGGGCCGAAAGCATCATTTCAATCTCTTTGGCATAGTTCCACAATCGAGGGGGAAATCTTGCTTCTTTTGGACGTGAACCCACTTGAGGTCCACGAATGTAGGTAGATTCAAAATATTGCAAAAGTTGATTGCATTCGGGCGAATCTTCGAAGGTGTCGCAAAGCAAGGTGAAGACTTCGGCAACCCTGTTAATGGGAACAGAAGCCAGAGCTGCCAAACTTCTAATTTTCAGATTGAAAGAGGGTAAACATTCAAACTTCTCTTTTAATCCGATAGAACCAACTTTTCGAATTATAGCTTGTGACAGGTGAAAATAACATCCTTTAATATCGGCCAGAGGAAATTGTGCATGGAATGCATTGATAGCTGCTATTTCAAAATCAACAATGATTTTGGTGGGATTAGCATTTGGGAAAATGATTTTCAACACTTCCAACATCTGAACGTATGTTTCTTGTCGCTTGTCTCGTAATAGGAAATATACGCATGGTGGATAGGATGCGCCCACCTTACAGTGAACTGTATACAACTGGAAGAAAATATCGGGCACCACATCAAATGTACCGTCGCCAAGATATGTGTCACTATCTAGATGTGCAAGTAGTGATCGAACTCCAATGGCCATTATTCGATGACGATCCTCCGGGCCAGTGTCATGCAAAATGATATCTAAATATTCGCTCGGAATATCAAAGCTTGCACTTGTAGGATTCGTACGTGAACAATTTTTCTGTCGCCTTACTCTGCGTATATTGGCCTCCAGAGTCGACTTGCCTGGCAAACGCATTAGTACATCTGTTGATCTATTATTCAATACTTCACCTAAAATATATCTTGTCGATGTATTTGATGGTGTTGATGCTGCTTCTTTTAATGTTGCACCGATGATCCCAACTTCAGTCTTAATGCTGTCGCCAGAATGACTGTGATATCCTAGTTCTTTTATTACATTTTCACCGATCGTAATAACAGTCGATTTACATTGAAATTTCCTAAACTGACGGCAGCGCCAATGAGTAGCATCTGAAACCCGATCATTTCGCTTACAATATTCGTGGCCTTTGTAAATCAGTAAGTCGTTTCCTCTTGTGGTCTTGGAAAATGTAGGCGCCATGTTTCCAACTTATTTTCGCAAAGGGACTTGTCATCTTCGCAGCTGCAATGTCCTGAAGAAACAGTGTGGAATTGTCTGCGAGGGAAAAAGGGCATTGATGCGAGGAAAAACTTTGCGCGGGATCGAACTATCTGCGAGGGAAAAAGGGCATTGATGCGAGGAAAAACTTTGCGCGGGATCGAACTAACACATCAATTAAAATCCTTGCTAGCGCTCTTCAAGAGTCGTCGACCGTTCAAAGCACAAATCGTACTCCCCAATTTTGGCTCGCATTCTACAGCGGAACATTTTGTCCATTGAGTCTTACGATATCGACAATTGCGATGACAATGACAGACGGAGTATAATATAAATATATAATATAATTTAAATATATAGAAAATAGTTGTAATAAAGCCTTCGAGTATATAATCGAGAATTCCATGGTGTTTTCGCAACGTATGCATTTGGAGAAAGTGTACCTTCCAATCCTATATACTATAGTATATAGCATGGAAAGATAAGGGTGTATATGTAAAGACGCTAATATCCGTAAATGCAAATGCCCATGGGTGTAGATGTTCATGGGTGCAAATGTCTGTGGGTACAATTGTACGCGGGTGTAAATGTATGTAGGTTCAAATGTACGCGGGTTCAAATGTACGTGGGTTCAAATGTCCGTGGGTGCAATTGTACATGGGTTCAAATGTCCGCGGGTGCAAATGTTCGTGGGTTCAAATGTTCGTGGGTTCAAATGTACATGGGTTCAAATGTCCGCGGGTGCAAATGTACATGGGTTCAAATGTACGCGGGTGCAAACGTACATGGGTTCAAATGTCCGCGGGTGCAAATGTACACGGGTTCAAATGTCCGCGGGTTCAATCTATATGCGGGTGCTAAAATCCATGGGTGGAAATGTATGGGTTTAAATGTCCGTAGGTGCAAATGTCCATAGGTGCAATAGTATACAGGTGCAATTGTCCTGGGTTCAGATGTACGGGTTCAATTGTACGTAGGTTCAAATGTGCTGTCACCAAAATAACGCATTCACCTCCAGTAAGTATAGGCTTGCGTTGCGCTACACAGCAACAACGGTAACGAGAACATGTTCGTGTATTATGCTGGATGACTGAATGCCAAAGCGGGACTTTTGGCTGATTTGTGGGACAAAACGCTAAAAAGCGGGACTTTTATCTGACTTGTCGGGACGGCGGGACAAAACGCTTAAAAGCGGGACTGTCCCGCCTAAAGCGGGACGTATGGTAAGCCTAACTATAGTGTAGAATTGCGCGTTGGTAAATACAGATTGACGCGAGACTTAAGAGCAGTTACTCAATAGAATCTGGAAAACATCTATAAGTTAGTGAAATCACATAACCGAAGTTCTTTAAAAAAACTAGAACACAATTAGCCCCCACGGGACTCGTACATGCGAATCCATGAATGTTGATTAAAATTCGCGATGGCAAGCGTATTTCTAACGCTTAGGAATACCGGTTCTAACTTGTTTCTTTTTCTATTTGTTTCTGTGATGGATACGCTAAACTCATGCGTAAGCTTATAATATATTGGTAATTTTAACAAATTTAGGCTGATGAACTTGTGTAAGAACTTTTTGCCAACGTTTTCGACTACCCTGCAATATATTAGCTATTCTTATTCTTTGTTTTATTGCCTGTTATCTTTTATTATTGCATATTATGTTAATAATGGAGTTGAAATAAATTAAATAAACATTAAACTGTATATATTAAATAATATATAATGTTGAAAATTGAGAAAAAAAAAAAATTACACACATAGAATTTAGAAAAAAATTGCAAATATAAATAAAACAATTAAAAAGTATGCATAGATAAATATACCATAAATATAATAAATCAAGACTATTGCAATAAAACAACATACAATGTACAAATTCATTCATACAAGCGATATCATCCAATTTCGGTTTCTCGGATAATCGCCCACCTCATTCATTCCCAATAATTTTGTTTCATTTGGCATTGACTTTATCCGAAATTTCAAATTTATATCAACCATATATATACCCAAATCATATGCAAAAAAATAATTCACAAAAAAAAATCGGTAGTACAATACTATTTTATTACAGGATATATCAAAAAGGATTACAGCAGTTTAATCACAGAACAGTGATTATGCCCACATTAGATCGAAGATCAAGATAAGAACCTTACCAAGACAAGAGTTATCATATTGAATATCATTATAGTAACAGAACTTTGTTGGGAGTGTGCATTCCGCATATCTCATTTCATTGGAAATAATTTTAAATAACTAAATCAGATCTAATTGTAGTATATATATATTAATTTATTTCAAAATTTGAAGAATCACTATCTCATTGCAAAATGGCAAGCTTCTCGAATTCTTTGGACATGCCTACATCCTGCAATGAAAGATTTAAACAAGATTCCCTTAAACGAGTGCATATTTATATATCTTAAAGAGTCAAGAATAGATCGGAGGGTCATCAGGTAAAGCCAAGCGCATCTTTTTCTCATAAATTCAATGAGATATATGTTTTAAAGCTTCTTTTCCATGCTTACGAATGGTATACTGCATGGTTGCTTCTTCAACGCCGCTAACATCCCGACCACAGTTTTCTGCCCAGTGTCGAAGAAAATCTAAAAACCTGTCATATGGTGAAAAACCACTTTGGGAGGGTGTGATGAAACTTATGTCACTTCCACTAATATTTGAATCACTTCTGAGCTTTTTCTCTGGGGCTGACAGCAACTTCTGAAGACAATAACAATATAAAAGTTATGAAACTGTTCTGTAAAATTGGTATTTCGCATCTCAACAAAAAAGTTTTCATCATATTAATATTTCATATTGCAGCAAAATCCTAATTTTTTTCTAGAAATATCATTTCATGAGTAATAGATTGCAAATCTAAACAGTTTGATGTACATTTTTGCAGGTTAAGTTGGTATAATTACTGAGCACACACAGTCCTCAAGAAAAAACATGAAGAGTGGAAACAATATTATTGGTTAATTGTATATATGAAAGTTGACTAAACATTTACCTTCATCTGCACCCTTGCCAACAAGCTAGTCAAATGTGGCTGTTTCGACACCATAGATACATCATGATTTGTTCTTTGTAACACTTCTATAATAAGAGATCCATAAGTCTCGTGATTAGGAATTTCTTTCAAGAAACGTGCAACGAACTCCCGAGTAAGAAGGATAGATTTGCAGTCAACTTTTTGAAAAAACTCGAATGAAAATGATTCAATATCCTCTTTTTTATTTGATGAAAATTCTGGATACAACACTGCATCTCCCCCGCTTGAACTACTGTCTTCAAAATACATATTATCATCAATGGACAGGTGTGTCGTAAAGCAGGAACGAAATGTGAGACAGGTGAGACATGTTTGAAATCCAGTCGGAATGGGGAAGTTAATTAAAGTGCATGATAAAAACAATTGATTGAGCAGCTGTAAAAGATTTTTCTCTTTAGGACAAATAGGTTCAAAAAGCCCTCGATCTGGCTCATCAAACATAAGAGCACAAATAAACAAACAAACAAAATGATTCACTGCTCTCAGTTGGGCAGTAATGTAGTTTCTAGCGATTGATTTAATGGGCAAATTGTCAGGGAGATGTTGCTTCAAGTGATCAGACAATTTTTCAAACGTGAGAGCCATTAAATTCTCTCTAATATGATCTTGATGATGCGAACTAAAACAGTCCAATATACTTTCTTCGTTATTCCCATCATCAGGGTCAATAGCCTTCAAAAATTCCCGCTCAAAAATGGTGTTGAGGCGTTCCTTCAGTTGAGATTTTTGTTCTCGCTGATGTGACTTGGAAGAATCCTCTCCAAGTATATAAATCTCTTCATCAATTGCATGTGTATCATAAGGTTCTAGATGACTTCCATGCTTCAGGCCATATTTTGATTTTTGCCACCTGTCGGCAGTATATTTGCTCTTTTCAACCGCTTGTGATATCTGATGACAGATATCATCATTGATATTTATAAATCTGAGCACAAACGTGAACTTATCTGACTCAACAGGTGGCATATCTATTGCGAGTGGAAGAATATCTCTCAAAAATTCAACATCTGGCAATCGAGAGCATAAATCATTGGCTGCATTGTGTAACAGCAACGTTGCTAGAATTTTATCAGCCCTAAGAATCATACCTTTTTCTAAGAAGCTCAGAAGAACATTCGTAAGTAATGTGGATTTGGATGAATCTCCAAGAAATGCAATCGAGGCAAATCTGGCTATGGCAATTTTATTTTCCAAAGTTGTTTCGTTGCTGAAAAATGAGCGACCAATACTCTCTCTTTCGATGTAAATTATAGATATTTTGTTGGTTGCTTGATCATAAACATAACACCGACTATTACTTCTTCCAATATCATCATTGTTGAGAATGTTTGGAACAGGATAGGGAAGTTGACAAAGGGATACAATATTTGGTAATTCTGGTGTATTGGCAAGGTAGTGACAATGTTGCTTGAAATTGTAATGCTCACTAGACAAGGCATCAATTGCTATCAAATGCACAGATATTTGTGGGGAATGAATGAGGATGTTGTTTCCAATGCTGGAAAATGATAACCGATGGTAGGAAATATCACATTCAACTTTGTTAGATACACATGTCATTACAATATCTTTATTAATAACAGCAATTCTATAGATGGTATCGTTTTCTTTAGTCCTTGATTGCCAACATAGACATATCATACCATTTTCTATTCTCAACACTTTCATATTAAAACCTGAAGATGACACAGTGGCTTCCATGTTCAGGATTTCATACAATGAATCTTTGCATGTGATAAAACATTCTTCAAGATCCAAGCTGATGCTGCAACTGAAAACTTGCTGTTGAAATTGTTCCTCTGCATATTGATCACAACAAAGGGATGTAGAATAAGTGACATATTTTTCATTCAAATCGGTACTTGTTTTTCTGGATTTTTTAACATGAAGATAATATAATTGCTGTTGAGAATAATCCCATTGACTCCAATAGCATTTTCCGACTGACACTGCTCTTGGCTTGTCGTGTATCTCTACTTTGTCTTCAAATATGGTTGAAAAAGAAGAAACAGTTTTATTTTTATCCAGGCTTTTTTCATTCACAGTAGAACATTTCAAATAGATAGTATACATAGCAATATAATTTTGATGCATTATCAACAAGAGACGATTTTCAATAGTAGGATGACCGTTGATCTCTTTTTGTTTAGAGCAATTGGTAAATATCACTTTCTGATAGAAAGATCGATTCACATTGAATTTCCACAACCATTTTGAGGGATAAATATCTGCCAAATAAGACTTGTATTTTCCCTTCACCGGTTGCAAGGAGAATTCAGATTTTTTCACAGAATCCATGTTATCATATCGCGTACCAGAATTTTCACTTATGGGCGTTATCCAGTTGACGTTGGCTTCACGTATATGATCCGTAGTAGTTTCATTTTGGTCTTTTAATTCACTTTCAATATCTACTGATTTTTTCTTTAGTTTCTCAGAATTCTTCTCTTCAAATATTGTAAAGGCAATTACATTACGATCTGGATTCAAAGAAGCATTAACAATATCAACAGCACTGTCATATTTGTACATTAGAGTATCTCTTTCTGTTGCTAGTTCAAACAGCCGAATTTCAGTATGATTGGATGGTGACAAGCAAGAGTATAGAAATGTGCCATCTGGTCCTTGTTCATATACTCCTTGTATACGACTGATGCGGCTGGGAATCAGCAAGTTCTCTTGAATCAACATTTTGCTCTTTTCTTCTCCGGTCTTGATTAAACATTAAATAAAAGGTTTGATAGCTACCTGAAAAGAAGTACAGTGATTGTATAGATATTTGAATAAAATAGGTGAAATAAAACCCAGTATCACACCGCATAAAACAGTAAAAACCTAGATGTTTAAATAGTCGTTAACACTACAGTGAATTTGTGTAAATAAAGAAATGCGATAAAAATCAACTCATCTTGAAAAATTCGAATAAAACACATATTGTGGTTCGTATTACATTTTATGTATTGACTTGATGGTTTTTTAGCATCTAGCATATTTGAAATGACATGAATGATATAGCGTAGTTTCTATTCCTAATTCATTCACATTACATTTTTTGAGCATTACAGTACATTCTGAACATAAAAGGATGCTTGTAAATGAGATCGATGTTTTTAAAACAGATGACAGTAGAGATTCAACTGATCAAAGTGGAATAGAAACAACAGAGCCATCAGGTATTTTACCATTACTACCAATGCCTGATATTATATATAAATATCCATCATCATACCACAGACTATGTCCCATTCTTTTCAATATTGGTGCAGTACAAGTTTTTACCCACCACTTGCTTGCAACATTGTTGTGGACAAAAATATCTCCCGAAATTGTATCGCGGGCTCTTCCAAATACTTCTCCCCCATGTACAAGACATAAGCAACCCGCTTCAATTGCAGCATGGTAGCGAAGACTACGTGGTTTGGTGGGAATCAATAAATTAGCAACTGGCCTCTTTTGGGTTTCCACTCTCTGAGAAGGCAAATGTGCTTTTAATCTCAGTTCCAATTCATGAACATTATGTGAAAAATTTATTTGTTTCTTTGGCCACGTTCCAACTATTTCTGCAGAGTCAGAATCCCTACCGCCTCCCACAATTAGGTTCAACATTGAATTTTTTTCAAGTAAACAAGAAACATGACCAGACCTTGATGAAATATGTATTGGTAATTCCTTATAATTGTATGACAAATTCTCAATATTGACAGTAAGCTTATAAACACTACCATATCGACGTTGCATTCTTACTCCACCTTCTCTTCCACTTATGATAATTTCTCGGAGGCCAACTTTTGTACAGGTATGACCGCTTAACCCAACTGGAGGTGAGCACAGTGCATCAACAGATAAATTTGTCCATTCAAATGTTTCCATATTCAATGCATGAACTGTCGATGTTCTCTGTCGTCCATCCCAACCTCCGATAAGACAGACCCATTTTTCATCAATAATAATGGCTCTGTGATGAGATTTTCTTGGACCAAAATTTTTGCATTTGGCCGGTTGAACAGATTTAGATGGTAATTGTATTTCCACCACATCCTCAAATGGTTCCTTTAAACTGTTGTATTTGTCAACACCACCATGAAGATATATATTGTTATTATAAATCCACCATGCATGAAAGGCTCTCTTCAATAAGGGATCCTCAATGAGTTTTTCATACTCCATCATTCCTCATAGTCTACTGCACTGCACTTCATACTATATCAGTATATTGTAATATTCAAGGTTTTACCATTCTGCAGACTGCAGTTCTGTCATTCAGTCATTAGACTACTATAAAGTATAAGTATAAGTTTATTTCGACTCCATAATCAGCAAAACAATAAAATGAATGCTAAAAATAAATAAATAAAAACTGATTATGAAATCAGGAGAGCGAACAAAACCTTAGATAAGGTTTAAAACGTACAGAATGTATATAAGATGGAAGGTTTTGCCAAGAAGATGTGGTACGTGTTCACTCACCTAAAATAATTGAAATATTTCACACACGCTCACACGCACCCACACACACAACCATATAGAGGTTATTAAGTAAAGGGAACATGAAAAATTACATACTGGTAGTTAATAAAAAATAAATAAATAAAAATTACTTGCCACACCATATTAATAAATTTATCATGATTGCCACTGCCAAATTGATCAATTTTATAAATGGGAGTGAACAGTAAAAATAAACTTTTTATAAAAAAATATATTGTCAAGCTGATTATAGATGGAGTCAAATGCCAAAATGCCCAACCAAAGTTGCCAGAATTGGGTGCATGAAGAGGTGGGCTAGACCACTTCATTGCCCAAACTAGAGCCTATTATTGCCAAATTGTAGTCCAGATTGCAATAAGTATTTAAATCTATCAGTAACTTTATAAGTATGAGTAATTATAATTAATTTGGGTAGAAAGACAGGGTATAGGAATATGTTGGTTGCTAAGGTTATAAGGTTTTTTTTTTCATTCTTAGATATTGACTTCTGCAAGGATAAAGGAATTAGGAATAAAGGAATTAGTATTGTTATTTCACAGGATCATTTCTTCATTTAATTATTATGGCGTAATAGGTTCAAGTTTATCGTGGATGAGACATCAGCCTGCGAATTTTGTTGTTGTAGACACCATTTATATTCAATAAACTAGCCATTGTATTGATCATCACAGAACGACCTGAAAAACAGAAAACAAATCTGCGAGTAGGATATTCAAGGGTTACATATTTGGAAACAGCACTACCCTACACTTTTGTTTAGAATTAATTATTATTTCGAGTAGATATTGATTATTAGTTATCTATCTATAAAACGCTAGTTCAAAGACCAGAGTTGAAATATGGTTGGGACACAGGGTGAATTCCTCGCAAACCATGCAGAAACTCTCAAACCACACTGACCATTCGTATGTTGGCCTTCACATCAACTTCACAGCAGAACTTCAACCTAGGATAAAATTTTGTATACACACAAAACAAATCATAGAATACCACAACAAATTAAAATGAAGGGGAGAATCCAATATATCTCCACTGGTCGCCTAATTACAATAATAGGTACAGGAGCTAAACTATACGGTCTACAACCCTCATAAGGTATCACACCACCCATATAGAAACAAAGATCATGCATGTGTAATGTCAAAAATCCAACGTTGAGCAAAAAGGGAACATGCGCATGCAGATGTCAGAGTGTAAACAGCCATTTGAAAAATAAATAAATAAAATAATTTGCTGTGCATGCTACAGAACCCGACACACCAACAATAGATGTAGAACAGGTGGAGAGAGATTAACTGCCGGCTCAACAACAATCAGCAGCTGCAGGAGCAATAGCAATATTGTAGCTGTTTAATATTTTCATGAAAATAAGTATGTGCAAGTGAAGAGTGTCCCAACTTTCTATCATGGTCATTCATGAAGGTTCAATATTTTTTGTGTCCGAGCTATCAAAACGTTGTAGCTAATTTCATACGAAAGAGTATATATATCAGTGTGGTTATGGGAAAATAACTTTTAATATTTGGATACCAAGTACGACTTAACTTGTTTCTGAAATGATTTTTTGGATTTTAATGACTTCAAATTCAAGGGGAGAGAGTTCCATAGCTCAGGTCCATTATAGCATAGGGCATGCTGACTCACAGATTTACTCATAAACGGTATAAATAAATTGGAATTACTTCTTCGATTGGAGGTGGTTTTGGTTAGTATGTCGTCAAAGCAGTTTGATAATGAGTTGTCATGAAAATCATAAACTAATGATAATACTTCAAATTTCATTATGTCTTCAACCTTGAGTATATTTAGCGATTTATAGAAATGATTTACGCTTTCACGTTTACTTTTCCTAAAGACAATTCTTAAAAAATTATTACAAATGCTTTGCAATTTCGAGACAAGTGTTTTATTACCATGGAGCCAGACTGAGCTACAATATCGGATATGACTTAGTAGTAGAGATTGAAACATTGCTAGTAAAGCTGATTGATTAACGCACTGGGATACTTTAGCAGCAACTGCCAAGTTCCTTTTTGTTTTACCAATAACATGCAACATTTGTGATTTCCATGATAGATTTTCATCAAAGATAACTCCTAGAAATTTTATTTCTTTCACTCTTTCAATTTCCTTGTCATTGAGCAGTAGTGGTTTTGAACAACTCACACTTTTATGCTTGCTTGGGTGGAATAATACAAATTTAGTTTTGTTAGCATTAAGAGATAATTTGTTAACCAACATCCAGCTATGAATGTTGGTTAGTTCTTGGTTCGCAACTGTGAGTAGATCTTCAAGGTTTTTCCCATGAAGAATCAAGTCAGTGTCATCAGCAAACATGATCGACTCAGAGGATTTCAGACACCTGGACATGTCATTAATGTAAGCTAGAAAAAATAATGGGCCAAGTAAAGATCCTTGTGGAACTCCGTGCTTCATGACACAAATATTTGTAGAGAATGAGTTGTCATATTGCACAATTTGTTTCCTGTCTTGCAGGTAGCTCCTGATCCAATTGAATGGGACGCCTCTAATTCCATAGTGATAGAGCTTACTTAAAAGGATGGAATGGTCAATGGTGTCGAAAGCTTTTGAAATATCAAGAAATATTCCAATTGCATGTTGTTTGCTTTCAAAGGCCTTGGTCAGTTTGTGTACCAAAACATTAGCAGCCATAGCAGTGGAGTGATGCTTGCGGAAACCAAATAAACAGTAAAATGAGTAAAGTCTATATAAACTAAAACCAATTGCCAATAAAATAATTTAAACAACAGAACAAAGGCACATTTAGCAGACTGACTGTCTGAAGACCAAAATTACAGAATTAACTTTTAAATCCGTAATTACAGAATTACAAAATAAAAGACTAGAATACGCTTGATTACTTATCGATTTTAATCGGTAAGTATGTTGATAGGTATTTGTCTGTTAGATGCACGCGATATCTCACGAAAGTGAGATTGGATCTGCTGCAGATTTTGCATGTGCATCCATCATATCTTGTACCAGTAGCCTTTTGATTTTAGGCGAATTATGTCGTATAATTAGCGAGTTATTAATTAATTAGTGATGGGACACAAGGTGTCACTATGGAGTAAGAGCGCTGTTTTGGGATCCCCTAACTTTCGATCGATAAGTCTTCGGTCTCTTACAAAAAATGCAAAATTTCTGCTCTGGTGATCACATTCCCCATAAAAGCTAATGTTAAAATTGTTTTTTTTACATCACTTTTCTTTTTGCGCGTAGGATGGGTTTTTAATGAATTAGGTCTATTACCAGACAGGCATTGTGACAAAACTAAGGAATTCTGTAAGATATTTTGTGACATCACGGTCGCGTCGCGGAGCAATGGAGAAAAAATTTTCGTTCGTTTGTAAGTACTGGTTGCAGTATTTGTCATATTTAGATCGGATCGGACTAGCGAAGCTAGTTTTCAGAATACTACAGAAATGCCTAAACGAAAGAAGGGTGATGAGTATCGTATATTTCAGCTTGTGATGCATATGAGCAGCCGTTCAAGTCCCGCACCGACAACATGCAACATAAAATGTCATAATTAATGTATATTGTATGTGTTGACTTTTGAGTAAATATTTCAGGCCTGATTAAGTGAAGAAATAATATATGGCTCGCACGGATACGCAATTGCAAACATGTACCTTTTATAGCTCTCTTGACCAAAAACGTTCCCGATCCCTGCAGTCTAACATTACAAAAATCGGCTATCCCTGATAATACCAAATTCTGCACGTTTCAAAATTCAGCATCACATCTATATAAAGTTGTTCATTACAGGTGTTATAACAGCGCACTTTTTGGCACTATGAAGTTATACATATATATATGATCTTGGCCATTTTTAACTTGTGTTAAATTCATATAACTGCAATGGCGTATTTCATGCATGTGAATGTAAACATCTTGATACTAGGTAGAAAATACGACTTAGATTCAGAACAATGTCGAACTTTGTTCGGTTAAAAGTAGTTATTCAGTTTTTGTTCCAGGCACATGGACTTGTAACTGTAAGGCGACTTAATCGTCTCGCACATAATTGTTCGTCCCTGGATTTGAACTCGCGAAACAACTATAATAAATTTATAATTTAAACATATTGGCTTTTATTTATTATATATATAATAATATATTTATAATCATTTGTTTTCGCCATACTAAAAGTGTTAACTTGAAACACCTAGCCCAGTGTTTCCCAAACTTTTTTCTGCCAGCGCCCCCTTGGACGACTTTTTCCCTAGCAAACGCCCCCCTAACAAAAAAAAGTCAAAGCAACTTTATTATCCATTTATCATTAGTACAATGTGAGGGTGGAGCCCAGTGGAATGCCACCAGCTTGATAATATCTGGCTTAATTTCAGTCAAAAACAGTCTTGAGTCTCCTCGTCCGACACTGTCGAGGGAATCTTTCTCGATATGTAAAAGTGCGGTCACTGAACTAAATACTCGCTCTACCGAGAATGAGCTGGCAAGAGCAATAAAAAAAACTTTTGACCATGGATTTATCCGTGATCTCCCTCGTGAGGATATTTCAATTTGATTGTTCCCAAACAGATGGAACACTGAACCTGAGTTTGAAAGTATAAACCCAAAAGTAGTGGTGCATTTTCGCTTCTGGAGGTTCAGGGTTAACCTGAAAACGGAGACCAAAATTTTCTTTACTATCTCCAAAAAAATTATTTAATTGACGCTTGACTTTCTGTTTGCGTATGATTATACTCAGAAGTTTCGCAAAATTTCGAACCTCTCACTTAGTTTTCTGCTGAAGCGCACCTTCTGCTATCAGGACATGGAAATGAAAGAGTTCAAACGGTGAATACTGTTCAGAACATTACTATTGTGTGGGGAAAATCTGGACATTACTTGAGGGATTGATAGAGGTGATCAGCAGTGGTTCTAGCATGCCGATGTGACCCTCCGTATCCTGAGAAAGAAGTCAGCAGTGACATCCAATGGAGATTTTAATTATCGGATTGAAACCTCTCAGATTTTGATATTTAGAAAGTTCGAAGGACAATTTGATTCAGAACAATCCTCAAACGATTGGTGAACTCAAGGCTGCAATTGCAGAAATTAAATAGAGAAATACCGAAAGAAGAGTGATTGACAATGTTGCAAAAAGAATGAGGAGAGCATTTGGAACATATTCTGGGTACAACATAATTTTTGTCCAAAACGTCTTAGAATTTCCAACACTTTTGGGTACAAACATACGCAAACAGAAGTTCAAGTGTAGACAAAATTAAATAATTCACTCCATTTTCGTATAAGTAATCGAGAAATTAATGGTCTCGTTTTTTGTGGACCACGCTGTATAATACTGTTTTTAATATAAATCAGTTAAATATGCTGCATAAGTCACTGTATTCGATATTTTGAACTCCCGCTACACGAATGATAAACCGACATTAAACAATGTCAGACACAACATGATATAACAACAGGCTAGAAAATTGCTTTTCGCCAATTTATGTATTACTTATGTAGCCTTATTATTTAAAGGCCCGGAAAATAAAAATGAACCAGTTAAATTGCAAATGGAGATGGTTCTATCTGACGTACGTCAGTTCAATCAGATGCCCTCACATGTTGCTCTTAACAAAACCAAAATTATAACATAAGGGTGTTGTTGTACTTACACTACCGCTTCAAAGCACCATATGTAAAATGAAGCTGTTTTATTCACATCTTTAGCTGTTTTTTTCACATGTTGATAGTAAAATGAAGCTGTTTTATCGAAACAGTACAACGAACCTGCAGTGCATGGAGACGGAAGCGTATGCGTATGTAAATGGCATAAAATATCATTCTTCTTGTTAATTCCCGTATTGATGTCAGCGCCCTCCAATCGCCCAGTTTGACAGCCAGCGCCTCTCAATTGTCTAGATCAGTGGTCGGCAACCACCGGGCCGCGGCCCATCGCCAGTCCGCGGAAAGGTTACTGCTGGTCCGCAAAGAGGTGACACAAAAGCGGACAATGCCGTAATAAAACCTCTACAATCTAACCACAAACGCTATGACTAAAAAACAGCATACCACAGGAAACCAGACAAACACAACTCCAGGGGTCGGAAAAATGCGGCCCGCCAGCTAATTTGTTGCGGCCCTTGAACGACCCGACCCGATTTAAAAATTAAACAAAAATTAATCCCAAATTTATTATTGTCTCTACACGGATTTATGTGGTGACAAGCGCTGATGTACGGCGCTTCTCATGTAACAAGTAGCGTCAGTTGTATGTCGTTCGAGTTAATTTTGATTTTTAAAATTTGAAAATGTCTGGAAAACGGAGCTACACGGGTCGAGCATTTCAAAGTGCTTGAACGAAAAATCGTAGTTGTTAAGGGTTTAAATGTTAAACTCGTTACGAAACGAGTCGTTGAAAATTCGACCCCGGGACTGCGCCACAGCTCATCTGTGCGTTAGTGCAAAAGGTGTAATGTGCACGTTCGGAAGAACATATGGCCTTGAGCAGCTTTATCTAAAATGCATTACACTTAGATTAAATTTCGTACTCGCTTGTCAGATCATCATTTGGACGACGAGATGCCCTAAAACGTCATCTTTCACATTGATATTAAGTACATAAAAACAATGTATTGTTGGATAATAAAACGCCACCTATACATCTCATTGGGACAGACTTTCAACACAGCAATAGAAGGGTAGCAATGCAAATGCGCCATAATTTGAAGTTTAATTACGGTAGCGATTGTTCGAAGGCGGAAATATTTCCTAATGCGTATAATTTATTGGATAGGCCTAGTTCGTTCGTATAAAGGTGGCCCGCCAAAAGTTTGGTCAAGCTTTACCGGTCCGTCACTTAAAAAAGGTTGCCGACCACTGGCCTAGATCGCCATGCAGCGTGTGCAGGATTTTTATATTTGTCTTTGTTGTTTTGTAGAAAGCCCCCCAAAAAACACCCCAACCACCGCTCAGAAGAAAAGTGGCGGGGGCTTTCTACAAAAGATTTTACAAAAGATTTCGAATTAAATCCAAATCAGTGTACCACATAGTATTTAATTTTTATCAATCATGGTATGAATGATATACGATAACATTATTATTATCATCTCGTAGCAATTATCGATAAGCATATATTTAGGACGAAACACCAAACAAAACTCTGAGCCTTGAATTTTGTCACAAGAGTGTAGCCGCCGCACGTACGCGCGCTTTTTGTGTGTCAGACGGGAACGTTGCCAAGTAAGCCGTCAGAACCGTCTCTTTGCCTTTGTCAGCCTGGTATATATATTTTATTGGTAATGAAACATTAATGAAATATCTGGCATACGGAAAAGAGGACTGAAAAATCTACCTAATGGAAAAAGGTAAGCAAGCTTTATTAATAGTGATTTCTTTTATCATTTTTAATTTATAACACAACTAAAGCGTGTAATATAGGTTGGATATTACGGTAATTATCGCTTCCCATCGACATGACTAAGGCATCCGACGCAAATACAAGTAAATAGTTTTTGTTTAAATATATTTGCCTCTGTTTGGTTGTCGTCTACTGTTTCCACCAAAAAGTATTACCTCAACAAAGACAGGTAAGACATACATTAACAAAGTGTAAGAAAGTATTAATTCTCTATTTTTCGGTACGGACTCTATTTTTGGTACCAGCATTCGGCAATATCAATTTTATTGTATGAATTTCGTGTTTTTCAATTTGTCTATCGACTTTAGTCTGTTTTTCGAATACCCTATGAGTTAACAATTTTATTTCAGAAGTGAACAAATTTAAACGTCTTCAAGAATTCTTGTTATAACGTTGCCCGGAGGAAGAAAGCTAAGGCAAAATTAACAGTCGTGATAGAGTGACAAACGCA